TTTGGTATTTTTAAAAACTATAAAGGGCCATTTTCTTAAAGAAAAGCAGAAATGATATCAGATATTGACATATAGGGGTGATAGACTAGGAATTCATGTTTTAGTGTCAAATAAAAATTCTAAGAAGCTTGGGGTGAGGGGTACACCATCCACTCGTCAGGTGCCTGTGCTGTATTCTAGTCCTAAAAGAGCATCCCCTTGCAGGAATTTCACATGGTACAATGCAACCCAAGGGGTAGTCAATGCAACAAGTGTAGTAGAAAGAGAGAAAATGTGATAGACGAGGTTATTATTTACACTAGGCCCCCCTTTACTCTAGAGAAGTGTTCTACAAACAAGGCTTGCCAAATCTGCACGTCCACAACACCAGAAATATATTTTATGTCGACACTCTTCGGTAAAAATGTTGCAAGTTGGGTACATTCTTGCGATTTAGCAATATTACACGATATAGCTTAAATAAGCTATACTGTCCAAGCGTCTACTTAAGCCAAAGTCAGATATTATAAACTTGATCGACGCTTTGTTTAGCATTCTGTTGGTTAACATATGCAAGATGGGGTACAATTGTGCAAAATTAGTTAAGCTGTCCAATGAAAGCCTCCATATATACAATGAAAAATCTTTCAATACAGCATAACCTTTTAAATACCTCATTATAGGTTCATACCACTGATATCTTTTCATTTCAACATTTGACCTCCGATGTATTCAGAATTTTAAAGAAACTTCCGGTTATTCCGGAATTACGAACCCGACGATACATGCACGCGTTTTAAAGCGAATGATAAATAAATAAATAAAACGAGTAAGTATATGATATCGTTAAAATAAGTTAGATTCTTGTCTTAAATGAGTTATCTCCTTATACATATTTTAATAACTATGATAACGAGATAATATTATTTCGCTAAAACTCTAAATCATTTTAGAAATTTGAATTGTTAAGCGGTTAAATGGACCACTGTATGATCAATCTGAAAGTCGCCTCTATATCTGAGTCATGTAAATGAAAAAATTGAATGTCAATCACAAATCCAATCAGACCGTCACCTTCAAACAATCTGTGATCCCAAATTATGCTGATAGAATGTTTGATTGACTGCTGTCAATATTAGTTCAGCAAAATGTAATTCTTATTATTTGCAGCGGGAGAGAAAGTATATATATATAATTATACCAAAAATGCTTATTTTCTTTTGGTTAGAATTTTTGGTCAAATCGGTAAGATGATAGCACTAAACAACACATGGTAAAAATATCTCTGAAGTTTCACTATGCTCCGGTGTGCAGAAGCTACACGTAGAGATGTGTCTAAATAATATGAGGAACTATGTAAATAAAATAATAATTTAATAATTAAAAAACGTTGAAGAATATAGATACTTTAAACTAATTATGAAATTCCATTATGCATGTTTACGACAGCCTTGCTAACTACAAACTATACTCAGTGCTTACTGCCAACTGCTATTGCTTATAGATGATATTGGCAGTTCTCAATTAAATATAATTTTAAAAAAAAACAGTCGGACGGACAGGACTAAAAATATAAACCCTCAATCTTCAATCGCAGGGGCACAAAAATTCAGTCTGTAAAAAAATTAGTTCCAAACATGCCTTCTATTAAGTTAATGCAATTAGCTAGTCTATATTTCTGCATGGTACTCTGCAAAAGGAGCGCCTAAGTACTACATGTACAAGGTTAATTGTCAATCATGAATATCAGAACCAGTCAAAATGCAAAATTCATTTTTTGATACCCTTTACATATTTTTTCAACCATTTGTGGATAAAAAACAAGATGTGTTTGTGAAACACTATGCGCCCGGCGGCAACAAAGATCGGAAAAAGCTATTTTTAGCATTAAGGTCACAGTCAAAGGTCACAAGGTCATTGACCTTGGTGTCATTTGGAAGAACCTGATTAGTGGAGTTTGCATACCAAATATGAAGTCTCTATCTTTCATGGTTCAAAAGTTATGGCGAAGGTTAAAGTTTGCAGAAAAAAAAAATTTTTAGCATATAGGCCACAGTCAAGGTCACAAGGTCATTGACCTTGGTGTCATTTGAAAGAGCTTAATTAGTGGAGTATGCATACCAAATATTAAGTCTCTATCTTTCATGGTTCAAACGTTATGGTGAAGGTTAAAGCTCGGGACAAACAAACAAACAAACAAACAGACAGACAGGACAAAAACAATATACGCCGCGGATATATCGATCCGGGAGCATAAAAATAATTCGGGGATTCACATTTTATGTACCAAGTGTTCGAAGATTCGCTTTGGCTGAGACAATTTATCTGCATTGTTTACAGATCGTTAAACTTGTTTTTATGCGCCCGAATTTATTCGGGGCTTATACTAGTATTGTTTTTGTCCTGTCTGTCTGTTTGTCTGTTTATCTGTTTGTCTGTTTGTTTCTTTGTCTGTCTGTTGTCAACTTTAACCTTCGCCATAACTTTTGAACCATGCGAGATAGAGACTTCATATCTGGTATGCATACTCCACTAATTAAGCACTTTCAACTGACACCAAGGTCAATGGCCTTGTGACCTTTACTGTGACCTATATGCTAAAAATAGCTTTTTCGAATTTTTGCCATAACTTTTGAACCATAGGAGATAGAGACTTTAATTAAGTGCTTTCAAACGACACCAAAGACAATGATCATATGACCTTGACTGTAACATATTTACTAAGAATAGCTTTTTAGAACTTTGTTGCCGCCGGGCGCATAGTGTTTCACAAACACATCTTGTTTCTTTGTAAAATATAGAGGCATTCATTATTAACATATTAATTCTCAAGGAAACGAAATCTCCCAAGAACAATATCATAATAATGTATATAAAATTAATTTAAGGTCATCAATCTTAACCGATTTGATCCGGTATAGACTTGTATGTACTACGCCTTAAAGAAACTCGATGAACTGATGCAGGAGGGGTAACGGAAGTAAATTTCTATCATACAGTCATTTTCACTATTACTGTTGCAAAGGCAAGGTGTCGATTGTTTTCAAAAGAAATATTTGGAAATATTTTTTTCTCTTAACAATTTGTGTAAGTAGCTAACATTTTAAGAATTTCAAGTAGTAACTGCAAAAGTAAATTGATTGGATATTTCATTAAAAATTAAATAAATAAAACGATTTCGTGAGTAAAGTTAACTTATTTTGAATATTTTAGCATACTTTTTGGTCAAGTTCATGCACATTAATTAAGTATTGAATTCATATTTTGGGATGTCTTCGGTCCTATAACACACCTGGCCGTGCCGACAAATTGAATACCGCGCGTTAAATTGTTAACGTTAAAATAAGAAAATTTTATATCAAATAGCGTCTCAGGCAACGGGATTAATTTTGATCGCTTCTTAAAAATAGATACAGGTGTGGACTGCTAACTAATGGCTTGTGACGAATTGTGTAGAAATGTCTAAGAACGTATATTACAAATATACGCACATCTAAATGAAAACTAGTGTATGATATGTTTTATACTCTCGTATTCGAAGACTAGGGGCAAAATGGAATCTGCTCTGTTCGTCCGTTAGTCTGTTTGTCTGAAAAAAAGTAATATTGCGGTAACTTACACATGTACATTTCTTGTAACAAGACCATTTTTGAGTACCATTTGAGCTTAAAATTTTGACCTTGGAGTTTTATCCACTTTTGCAAAATTTACTCTAATCATGCCCATAAATTTTGAATGCTTGGTATACTAGGGCTTTTGTATTTCACACATGTATATACATGTAATTCTTGTGATAAGACATTTTCCTTGGTACACATTGACGTCGCGCACGATACTGGTGTTTCTTTCACACAGAGCATTGGAAAATTCATTTGTATGGTTGTGCAGAGATAGTTTTGCTAGAAGATATCAAGTGTTATAATTCAATTGCAAGGAAAATATATGAATAATGTACGGAAGCCCTGGAGGGACATTGACTTACTTGTTATGCCTTATTTGTTATAACTTTTTTTGTTTTGACTTATTTGTTTTGAGATTTTTTTTGTTAGTTCTAACAAAGTGTAGGTAAGCTATTGAGAACGATTAATTGTAGTTTTGTAGTTAAACGTACGAAACTGATGTGATTACTAAATTTTTATCTGTTAATTACGGACGCCCTTGAGAGATATTGACTTATTTCTTATGTGTTTTGACTTATTTCTTATGTGTTTTGACTTAGATCTTATGAATTAACTTTGAATTCTTGTTAGTTTGAATTTGTTATGACAAGTTTAGTTTACAAAAAGTGGCGTGAAAGATGAAGGCAACGTATAGTTTCAGAAAAAAATACCTTGAATTTATTACTAACGACAAAATGAAATAGTAGTGATTGTCAGTTTGTCAATCATCATGCAAACTGGAAGTTACATATAAGAAACGTAATAACTTTTAGAAAATAAGAATTAAGTTATAACAACAAAAAGAATATTTACTTTAGAAATCACAACTGTACTGGACGTTAAACTACAATTTGTTAATTAAAAACCACAGTTAAAATAGGACTAAATATCATATTATTCCTTGAATTTATTACTAACGACAAAATGAAATAGTAGTGATTGTCAGTTTGTCAATCATCATGCAAACTGGAAGTTACGTATAAGAAACGTAATAACTTTTAGAAAATAAGAATTAAGTTATAACAACAAAAAGAATATTTACTTTAGAAATCACAACTGTACTGGACGTTAAACTACAATTTGTTAATTAAAAACCACAGTTAAAATAGGACTAAATATCATATTTATCATAAAAGTAAGCCAAGCAACAGGTTTTCAATAGCTTTCTTACACTTAGTTATAACTAGCTACGAAACATTCACAACAAATAAGTCAAAACAAAAAAGTTATAACAAATAAGTCATAACAAGTAAGTCAATGTCCCTCCAGGGCTTCCGTAATAATGCCATTAGTTTACTTTAAATATATTTTAGACGTTTATATTCGTAAAAAAAATGTAGCTAGATATACGGCGATGTCGTCATTTTTCTGATGTCCCAGCGTTACAAAAAATGTCAATGCGCTTCATTAAAAGATTGTTAAAATAATTAATCCTAGGCCTAATACCATTAAAATTGGTATATGAATGTGTCATATGCATCCACAAAAGGATTTCATAAGTAATTTAAATGCTCGGAAGACGAAATTGATATATCGGCACAAGAAATGTCGTAGACCTAGGTGTCCCGGTTTTGTTGATCTAGATGGAATGAAACTAGAAGGCATGAGTACCAAGCCTAACTTATTTGGGTTAGTTTATTATTTCTGGTACAGTTGTATTGTACATGTACCACAAAACACAGTAATTACCAGTATGATATAATTCCGACAATTTTCATTTAGCAGACTGATTTTTTTCTGTGTCCAGTGAAATGTCAAAGTTTATTAAAATATAGCGCCTTTGTAGCAATTGTATCATTTTATCTTAAAATTTCGAGTAATATACTAACATGAATATTTTAAAAAGTATAACCTACAAAAAGTACATAAAATTCACTCTAGACTAAATACCAATTTTCATGTCATCCCGCATCAACTTTAATGATTTATAGTTTTAGAATTTCAAAATATCAGTTCAAATTTCTAAATTTTAAAAAATGTAACTGATTTTGTATATTGAAATTTACTATTTTAATTCAAAAACCTAAACTTTCTAATTTCCAAACAGGTGTAACATTTTGAGTCTTGAGATTACACGGACCCTTATAAAAGTTAGTTCATGGTAAACATGTTAAATGTTCAAAATTCAAAGGAGTATGTATGATAAGAGCAAATTTTGGCCCCCTAAAAATCAACATTTTAGAATGACATTCAGATATGTTTTATTGATATTTATTTTGTAGTAGAGATGATATTAGAAATGTTTCCAATATATTTTTCACATTTACATGCACTCACTAGCTGTAAATGACATCAGAACTAATGCTATTTTTGCTATTAAGCAAAAAAGCCAAAAATATGCCTTTTTTTGATGTTTTTTATTATGGGAAACATAGAGCGCAGTGTAGAACATACATAATTTTTCTGTCACTAATTAGTATTGGATAGATACATCTTTGGTAAAAATATATAGCTTGTTCTAGGCTGCGCTCTATATTTTCTGGAAGAAAAACTGCTTGAAAATAAGCAGTTTTATACAAAATATGCTAAAATAGCGGGAAAACGTGATTTTTATGATGTCATATTTCTACAATAACGGCATTTTGATCAAAATGAAATGACCAATAGAGGTCGCATATATAGCTGTACAAATTAAAGCTATATATAAAGTAAAATTAAGATATCCATTTTAAGGGGCCAATTGAGACACTTACCATATATCGCTCTTTCCAAAAACGATTGTTGTATTTTAAACTTTTGAGTTTTTAATCTACAGTTTCTTCAGAAATTTTACGCTAAACAATCTAAGGTTCAGTGCAGTTTTACGGCTTTTTAAATTTCAAAATTTACTTTTAAACTTCTAAATTTAATCTTTCAAACGTTTTAGATTTAGAAATTTAGAATTTAGGTTCAAACATTCAAATTTTAAATAACCAAAACATTTTTGAATTTTTAGATTTTTACTTCAGATATCAAAAATATCAAATTAACCGACCCTATTTGAATTTTGAAACTATGTCTGTATCAATTCAATATTCTGAATATCTAAATCCTTCTCTGTAACAATACACTTACCTTCTCTAAAATACTACAATTTTTGGCCTTTTGATCTTAAACTTGGCGTTTGATCTACTTTAAGTAATACAGTAGTTAAAGATAGGGTTTTTAAAATTTGCGTTTGTATTTCATATGGCAATACTTTTTACTGAGATACAAATATTTTTTTTTATTTTTTGACGTAGATTGACCTACTCAAAAAAAATCTTTAACCTTGCCTATAAATTTTGAATGGTTTTTATTAATGTTTTCACTTTTTACAAGTGTTATTCTTTAGATTAAAATTTATTTGGTACTAAAAGTTTTGATTTCCATAACTTTTGATTGCCTAGGCTAAGGGCTTTCATATAATTTGACAAGTTTATTTCTTTTAACAAGATCTTTTCATATAAAACAATACTTTTAACTCGTGGCAGTTGAGGTTTACCTACTTTTGGAAATCTTAAGGTCAGCTGGAAAAATCCCCCCCCCCCCCGGAAGTGAAATATATTTTAATTTTGAAACGCATTTTGCAGTCTTTCGCCAGACATAATTTTAATCTTCAAAAGAAATTGTAAAGTCAGTCTGATGTAAAACCCATAAGACTTGACATCTTTCAGCATCTCCCGTTGCGCAGTTGTAAATGTGTCTTCAATGTTCAAATGTACATGTATATCAGGTCACTTCAAAAGAAATCCTAGTTTAGACTAGAGGTACTGTGAGCAATGAGCTCACTAACTGATACCCCCCGCCTCCCTTATGAATATAATGGCAGTGTCCATGTTTTGCTCTGGAAAATCCAAAATATATGTTAGATCAAAAAGTAAAATAGGAGGTGCTCAATGGCAATATGTAATTAAGAATCTGTGAAAGTTTCATTAAATTTCCTTCAGTGGTATGAGAGGAGTTGCGGATAAGAGATGGGTACCCCAAAGCTTAACGGACGGACGGACGGAAATACCGATTACTATATACTCTCCCACTTTTCAAGCGGGGGGGAATAATCAAATTAACTCATATTTCTTTCTTGTCCTTTATGAAATTAACCTATTTTTTTTTGGTGAGTTCAAGGGCTACAGTTAACAGAGCAAGAGTGTTCATGCTTGAAATACGTGTATCAAACTGAACAAAACATGACCGGATATACATGAACACATTCAGTTTACATATCTACTTAACAATATGCATATACATGTATGATATACGTATATGTACGCAAGGTCAGAAAAGAAATTGTAAAGTCAGTTTGATGTAAAACCCATAAGACGTGATATCTTTCAGCATCTCCCGTGGCGCAGTTGTAAATGTGTCTTCAATGTTCAAATGCACAGTCATGTATATCAGGTCACTTTAAAAGAAATCCTAGTTATAACCCAGCTTGAAGAGTGGGAGGGTATACTGTAATCAGTATGT